CCCCCACCCCCTACATACCGCCCACACGCAACCACAGCCGCCACCTGCCCGGCGGGGGCGTCACCCGCCGTCACCGGCGTCTCACACCAAATGGCCACACGCAATGATCAAACTGTGCCGCTTTTCAAAGCGTCGGCGCGCGCCGCGCCCGGCGTCCGGCGTCCGGCCTCTTAAACACTTTTGCGCCGCGCCCTCCGGCTGCGGCCACCCGCCCACGTGCGCGGCGTGGCGGCGCGGCGCGGCGCGGAGCCTCCGCGGTCGCGGCAGCCGGCAGGCCTGCTCTCTATGTATCACATGCGCGCGCGCACTGGCGGCCGGCGAGCTCATGCCGCGACGCGCCCGTCAATGCTAGAAGGAAGGGCAGGTCGCCCTTTCCCTCACTCCATCCCCCCTCACCGCCCACTTTTCGGTATCCGTCTGCCGGGGCCGCGGCCGCGGCCTCCCTCACAAAACTGCTGCAGCGCGCGGCGTCCCCAAGCGACCGTCAGTCGCCCTGCAAGCACGAAACACAGACAGAACGCGGCGGGGCACGCGTGCACGCGCGTTGCTGGCGGCCCGGCGCGCATGTCGCTGTGGAGCCCGGTTGGCCTTTGGGCAGCAGCAACGCCCATAATAGCAGTGGCTGCGCCCCCGCGCCCTGCGGGCCGCCCGCCGCTTAGGCGCATGCTCCAAGTCCGGGCGCTCTGCCGTTGGCCGGCGCCGGCGGGTTGATGGCCGCTACAGCACGCGCCGCACCGCTCCGCGGCCCCGGCTGCTGCGGCGACGGCAGCGGCCCGTGCATTTGCTTTCAATCCTCATGTACACCTCAGGGACCGCCTCCCACAATATCTTGTTTGGATCACTTGCGTCTCCCTTTTCGGCCGCGCCGCGCCTCAGGAGCCGCGCTCCGCCCCGCCAAACCCAAAGGGGCGGGCGCATGAGTGCCTTTGACCGCCATCGCGTGGCGCTTTATCTGACAGCCGCCGCACAATGCATGACATGCGGCCCGGGGCTCACGATGCCCCACGCCATGCAGCGCAGCGCCCAAACCGCACGACGACAGTGCCGCCCTGAGTCCGCCGTTGCGCCGCAGCGCCCGCCCGGCGCCGCCCGGCGGCTGCGTTTGGCCTTGGCAGCTTAAAGGGCTGTGAACCCCACGCTGCGCCGCGTGTAGAGCCGCGAGTGGCTTTGGCCTCTGATTGCTGAGCACCACAGCTTGCCTTTTGCAAGGTCCCAAGGTCCAGAGTGTTTGCTTTATTTCGACCCCCTGCGTGCCCCTCCACACCCACCCACTCCTCTCATCATAGACATACGTATGCTCCCAACATGCCCGGGCCTCCTGAGTCCATATCACACAGGTGCCGCCACGCATCCCAAACCCCGCCCTGCGGCACAACCAACCCGCACGGTCACAAATGCATGGCCACCAGCCACTTTCACGTCACTTGCTGCCCCTTTCCCCCTGCTTTGCGCCCTTCCCCGCCTTTCATCTCGCCAGGCGTTCCCTTGCTCATGCGTGAACACTGCTTGCCAGGCGTTCTGCTTGCCTCTCATGCGGGCACGCCTCGTGCCGCGCACCTTATGACAGACCGCCTGGCTGTTTGCCGCCACACACCCCCGCACGCCCGCCGGTGCCCCGGCAGCGATGAGGCCGGCGCACCGCGCTTGGGTTTGATACAGGCGCACTAACGTGCGTCAATGCATGCTGGGTGCGCGACCATGTGCGGAGCTTGAATAGAGACACTTGCGTTGTTGAGATCGCAGCCAAACCGGGTTGGGGCTTGGCAAAACCAAACTGTTTGTTACATGCTACACTTGTTACATAGGCTCTCTCGGCGGCCGTCGAGGCGCGCGACGGCAGGGGGTTTGCAGCAATCCGCGCAGCGGTGCCTGGTCTGGCGGTCGGTCTGGCGTGATGCGATCAGCGGCAGCCAGCAAGCGGGAAGCAGGCTATGCGACGCCGTGGCCGGTCAGCCAAAGATGGTGGGGCGCACACACGCGTCTCTGCCAGCCCCGAGCCCGCTCGGTCCCTGACGGGTGCTGGCGTTTTCCCAATCAGGGCTCTTGGCCCTGGGGCCCACTGCTCGCCCCGCGCGGCGGCGCGCCGCACGGCGTAGCCGCCGCAGAATGAAGGCGGCCGGGCAGCGCGCCGCGAAGAGCGAAGAGGGGTCGCACTCTGCCCTGGCCCCTGCCCCTGCCCGCGCCGCGCCCGCGAGGCGCCTCGAAAACCCTTATCCCCGCCGCGCGCTCTCCAGCGCCGCCTGCCGCTGCATCACCGACGCGTCAAACTTGACCAGGATCGTCGTGCTGGACCTGCCGCCGCCGCCGCCGCCGCCCTTGCCCCCGCCGCCTGCCAGCTCCACAGCGTGCGCCGACACCCTGCGGCCGGCGAACGCGGGCGCGTTGCCTCAGAGGGCGCGCGCGGGATCTCTCGCCGCGCCGTCCGCCCCCTTGCGCCCGGCACGCCGCGCCCGCGATGCGCCGCCCCTGGCAGCACCATCTTCCTTTTTCCCAAAGCAGATGCGCACGTGCGCTCGCCCACCCACGTGATCGCCCACACACATGCAAGCACATGCGAACGCAACCACGCACGCACGCACGCCCTCTCGCCTGGCCGGGAAGCCTGCCGCGCTCAGCATGCCGCGGACCATGCCCGCCACGATGCTGCCGGGCACAAACGTGGCGTAGCTCTTGGGTATGCTGATGTAGCGCCCCACCTGCGCGAGGCAAGGCGTCACTCAACCCCCTGGGTACCAACGAGGCGCATGCAGGCTTATCAGTTGTGCAGTTGCACGCTAGTCAGCTTTGGTCCACCGCGCTGCACCATCCCCAAAAAGTGCCCACTGGCGGTACCCAGCGGGTCATAGACACGGCGGCCGCACTGGGCATATTCAATGCCCACAGGCTGCCTGCGGGACGACCCCCCCCCCAGAAAACCGTGGCAGCGGTCCAAGGGCGAAGCGGCGGCCTTGTTGCAGGCGCAGAGGCGTGCCGCTGCAGCGCTAGGGGCGTATGTTTGGGACTCCGAAAGCGCCCCCTCCGGGCGGGCCCGGCAGCCACAAAGTCGGAGGCCCTCTCGCCGGCGGTTTAGGGCGGGTGCGGCATTGCGGGCAGGTGTGCCTGACAACAATTTGCCACAGTCACAGGTGCTCACAACGCTGACCCTCAGCCAATCAACCCCTCATCCCCCCAAAAAGCAGTAGGCATTAGGCACTGCGGCCACACTGGGCATCTTCGACGCCCCCAGGCTGCCTGCGGCACCCCCCCAACGTGCGGCGGCGATCCATGCCGCAGGTGCGGGGGCATGGCGCGGCCGCATATTAAGCGTGCGGGGGGGGCGGGTCAAAAGCTGAAACACCCCCTCCTCCGGGCGGGCCCGGTGGCCACAGGGGTTGGCAGCCCTCTGGCCGGCGGGGGCTAGGTTGCTGGCAGCTGCGGCTGGCGACGACAGCCTGGTTTCAGCTGCCCACAACACAGCCCTTCAGTCAAACCAAAGGCCCCCCCCCACCACCATAACGAACAACTGTGCACAAAGTTTCGACTGGAGATGGCGAGCAACCCTTGTGGAAGTTGTATGCCTTCAGCAGGCTGTCCAAACGTCCCCTCAGCTTCCTCGTTCCTCAAACATACATAAACTCATGAATAATTCTATGCTCAAACAACATACATATTTATATGTAAAAGCTACACACAGGATGTGCACTCCATGCGGCTGCATGCAAGGCGCCCCACCAGCAGGTCGTGGTCGCTGATCATGTACTCGTCGTCAGCCGCGTTGGCCTGCTGCAGGTCGTCCGCGGCCTTTCCGAACAGCGCGGGCCAGGCGGTGCTGTGGATGAACTTGAGGATGTCCAGCACCTCGGGCTTGCGTTTGACCTGGGAGGGGCGGGGGCGGGGGGAGGGGGGCGAGGAGGGGCAGGGCGGCCGGTTGCAGTGGGCTGGCTGGGGGTGTTGGTGGTGGGAGCTGCGCCTGGGGAAGGGCAGCCGCAGGGAGAGAAGGTGGCAATTACAGGTTGAGGCGGGCGGCGCGTGCGCACGTGTTGAAGTCCAATAGGAAGACAACCTATTCAATTCCTTCGTGCACCCTAGGGTTCAGACATTGCGGAATGTCTGGAAAGGGTGCTCTGAAGGGCAGCGGGCGCGTGGAGGCGCACGCGACTGGGCAGCAGCTGGTCAGCCCCACAGAAAACCCAGGGGCTCTGCCGCAAAGCCCAGTGCCCGCAGACATCAGGCGTTCGGCCCAAAACTTGCCTGCTTCTCTCTATAGGATATGAGCTCCAGCATCCGCGTCCCCACCTCGTAGCCCACCTTGTCTAGCCTGCGGCGGTTGATGGGGATGAGGCGGGAGGGCGTGCGGCAATGCCGCGTCGATGGGCGGAGGGCCCAGCTGGGACAGCGCGCTGCTGCGCATGCCTGAAGGGCGTCCCTGTCGCGCGCCGCGCCGACAGGGGCGCGCTCGGCCTGCGGCCGTGGCTGTGGTGGGCGCGCTGCGCGCGCGGCGCGGCGCAACCGCTGCTTGCCCGCACGCGCGGGAGTCGGGCGGGCAGACGCGAGCCTCACGCACCGCGCACACGCCGCCGCTCCCAGCAACCCCCTCCCCGCCCCTCACCGCTCCTCCAGCTCCGATATGCTGGCGGCGCGGTCCATTGCATATGATATTAACTCCCCAAAAAGGTAGGCGTAGGCGCTGAAGCTGACCGTGGGCACCTCGCCGCGCGCCTTGGGGATCGGGCGGTCGACGATGTTGAGCGCATGCTTGTTGGGGCGCCCGCTCAGCATCATGGCTGCCGTCGGCGGCCGCTGCGCCGCAGGGGGCTGCGCCCCCGGCGCAGGCGCAGCTGCTCGTGTGCTGTGCTGCGAGGGTGAGGAGTGAGCGGCGTTGAGAGTTGCAGCTGACGGTGCTCCCTGCTGCTTACGTGCACGGCTGGTCTCGCGCTGTTTACGATGTGTTCAAGTCACACTACTGTCTGCAGAACGCAGGCTGCGGTGTCAGATCAAAAGATCGTTCAATCGCACATATATGTATGGACTGTGGCAAAGTGACTGTTCAGCGTATCAGGACTCCGTGTTTGTATGCACACGTGCTTTAATCAGCTGTTCGCCTGGAACGCGGCGTGAGCTGCCACACCTGGCAAAGCACGCACACGCCCGGTGTTGGCGATGCACTGGTTTGGTCCCATGTCGCGACACCAGTGCTCGTCACCACTCCCGCAGACGTGTTGGTCAAGTGCAATGGGCAGCCAGCGGCTCTTTTCGCCCGTATCGCATGCGCTTGGCTTGGGCATGGCATGCGATTTCGATCATTCGAGTGGCTCACCGTGACACCCCCGGCGCTGCAGCCTTCCCCAACAAGCTGCGATGCCTGCAAACGGAGCGCAGCACACGGTCAGCGGCCCAGGATGAGAGACGTCATCCAATAAAGTCGATTATATTCGAGAGCGTCATGCCAGCACCCCCACCAGCTGCAGGAGTATTCAGAGTGTCAAACACAGCACATCAAGGCAAGACGACCCATGCAATGTGGCCATATCAATTGTTCGCACATGTATGTGGCTGCTGATATTGGATGAATCAGCCACGTGTGCAACCCTGGGCTTGGCCGTGGGGCATTGCCAGTCAAATCAGTCAAACCTTGTCAGCATACCGTATACTGCCCAATGGGTCACCAATGTGTGCGTCGGTTACAAGCCTGCCCTCACCTCTATCAATGTTTGTATAGCTACCGACGATGAAAGAACGCTGATGCAAGGTCCATAACTGCAGGGGCACTGCGCGTGCTGCAGAAGCGGCCGAGCAGGTGTACAAGTGATATCCATGCGCGGTCGTCGCCCACCCGACCAGGCCACTGATTTGGTTTTCGATTGATGGTTGCAAACCTCATTAGCTTTGTTTGCCTCGGGGATTACCTACGATCGATCTAGCCAGAGCCTTTCTCCGGCTTAGTGCTTCCTCAATAACACGATGCTTACCAATTGCATTGCACGTGCGGTAGCTCGCGGTCTGCTTGGGAGGTCGCGCCCCTGCGCTGCCGCCGCACGCGCTGCTGGCCGCGCCTCCGCCGTGCGCGGCCCCGCACGGCTGCTTGCCGTGCGCGCCGAGGCCCCGGGCGAGTCCTCCTTGGTGGCTCGCATCAAGGATGACATGAAGGCAGCCATGAAAGCCAAAGACACTGCCAGGTGTGACAATGGAGTGCATGCCCTGCCCGCGGCGAGCGGGGCAGACCCCCGCTTGCCTTCCCCAACCAGTCTCCTCCCCAGCTGGACGCCTGCTCATTGCTCTCCAGCGCCCACCCCAAACACGCACACACCGCCGCATGCAGTAAAGCGTATGCATTATGTGTGCCACTACTGTCACCGTCACCCTCATGATCTGCAGGCTTGACGCCATTCGATTCCTTAACGCGGCCCTGAAGCAGCGGGAGATCGAATTGAGGGAGGGCAGCAAGGCGCTGGGGGACGATGACGTCATCAGCGTGGTCCAGAAGCTGGCCAAGCAGCGGCGAGACTCGATTGACAGCTACAAGCAAGGTGCGCACCCCTGTGTGTGCTGTAGGTGTGTCGTCCAACAACTGGGTTCGCACACGCAAGCGGGCTTGCCAGCATGCCTGCTTGCGGGCCGAGGGGTGTTGTGCAGCTGTGCGCGGCATTGCGGAGCGTGCGTTAAGGAGCAAGGCGGCAACCTTGTATAGCGGGTGTCATCCCGCAAGTAGCTTGCGGTTGTTGCTTCTGATCAGTCGTTTCTCCCGGATCCACCCCCCTCCACAATACCCCAATTATTGTTTACCGACCTCAATAGGCGGGCGGGATGACTTGGTGGCCAAGGAGGAAGCCGAGCTGAAGCTGCTCGAGGGGTACCTGCCGCAGCAGCTGTCGGAGGATGAGGTCAAGGCCATAGTGTCCGCGGCCGTGGCTGAGGTCGGCGCCACGTCGCCGAAGCAGATGGGGGCGGTGATGAAGGCCGTGCAAGCGAAAACGCAGGGGCGGGCGGACAACAAGCTGGTCAGCTCGCTGGTCAAGGCGGCGCTGTCCTCATGAGGAGGGGCGCGCGTGCTGTGCAGCGATTGTGCAACACGCGTTGCTGATTGTGTGTCGACGGTGGCTAGGTCGATGGGCTTTGCACCATTTTTGCAGGGGTTCAAAACACGGCGGTTGTATGGTTGTTGCCTGGGGTCCATGGGTGTCACAAATGTCGGCATCGTGTAACAAGCTGAGCCGCTTCGTGGCGGCTTGGACAACAATCAACGCGACCCCACGTTACCGTCTCCCTCAAAGCAGAAATGCCTACATGTGCAAGTGTGGTTTTGCAGATAAAGAGGGGAGAACGCACTCCAGAATTAGCAGCACTCGTGAATCCCTTGTAACAGGCTCTCAATCCAGAGACCCTTCGACAACCTGAAGCTCTTGACGCCTTTCACAGGCCCAGTCACACAGGGGTTCCTGGTGGGCAGCTGCTCTACTGGCAGTGATTCCCAGCTAGGTGTCAACAGATAAGACCCAGTCTTAGTAGACTGAGAGACCATCCCCTCAGCCTAACGAGTACTGTCCACACCAGTGGCTGGTGGAGTGGGGTTCAGTGCGGTAGCCTCCCCAAAGGTGCCAAGCCTGCCCAGACGCTTCAACCTCAAAACCTGGTCTGTCAGCTGAGATGTCAGACCTTGCACTTCAGGTTGACTCCGACAGGCTGCAGGTGACCCTTTCACAGCTAGTGACGATGCAAACCGCCTGACGGGCGATCGTCCGTGTCAGCCGCTCAATGCCAGGCTGAGAGCCATGACCTGGCTCAATGGCAGATTATATGATAGTGACTTCCTGCACAGGCAGTCCTTTTGATACCCGAATTCGCAGGTGGCTGGCAGTGTGTGTACTGGCAGTGTGTGTACTGCAGATCATCACGCCTTGCAGATCATCACGCCTTGTTGTTGATGAGCTCTCGAGTCATAGCACGATACATATGTATAATTTCTGTGCCTCGCTTAGAGTCTAATGGCAGCGTCATTACCGTTTATATTATGAAAGCTACACAGTACGTCTGCACACCGCCATTCTCGGGCTAGCGCTCTCAGGCAGCTACGTGAGCATGCGTAGCTGACACCAGGTGTTTATTGCTGGGGCGCGTAGCGGGTGCCGCGCTGCACATGGCCGCCAGCAGCCAAGCAGCAGCGGCCGCCGCGCATAGACCGGCGTTGTGGCAGCGGCAGCGTTGCCTGTCAACACCCTTGCCATCCGCTGTGTGGCGTGGCGGGCAGTATGCTGCATCCTCAAGGCCTCCTTGGGGCGCAGCTACAGCACTGTCCAGCGGCGACGGTCCCACTCGAGCCATACAGGAACTGAGCATCGAGGCCGCAGCCATGGCGCCGCTGCCGCAAAGCCGCAAACCTCACCGGCCGCATGAACAACGGTCACTGCTGCCGCCGCCGCAGCAGCAGCAGCAGCAGCAGCAGCGGGAGCGGCAACAGCAGCAGCAGCAGCAGCAGCAGCAGTGGCTGCCGTACCCCCAGCCACCGCTCGACCCCCAAATGGAGTCCCTCTGCAGCACCCTCGGCCTCGGGCCAGAGGATGCAGAAATGCTCGCCCTGCTGGCGCCAGAAGCTCTCCAGATCACATCCGACGATCTGGCGGCCCGCTGGGCCGACCTCCAGCGCCTGCTGCCCGCGCCGCGCGTCGCGCTCGCGCGCGCCGCCGCGTCGGACCCGTCGCTGCTCCTCTCGCCCCGCGCCGCCGTGCCCGCGCGCCTGCGCGCCGCCGCCGCGGCGCTGGGGCTGCCGCGGCGGCGGCTGCTCGGGCCGCGCGGCGGGGAGCTGAGGTTCCGG